CTTCTCCAATGCACAGCCTAGTCTGGGCACTGAACGAAACAGAACTCCAATGGGAATGAACATATAATGAAAGACCATACTGCCTTTGCAAGAAGGAGTTATATTAAGCTTGCATTGGCTGCCTTCCCTCTGGCTTTTTGTGACTTTTGAGGTGCTTAATCTCCTAAATACCCTTTTAGAGTGTGTGTGAGATTCAGGAATGAGGTAGACTGTGGATAAGAAAGTAAACATGAGCAAAAGACAGAGCTCAGGTATGTGCTTACCACTGCATTGTAGCATGTGCAATAGCATAAACATATTTAGAGAGGAACCCCATCGTGTATAAGTGTTCCCAGTCAGGAGGCACTAAACAGTAAAAACAACAGCATACACTTTATTCCCCAGAACAATCTGTTTCTAAACAGTATCATTTTCATACTGATTTTATGAGAAAACTGTTGGAACCAGATGAATAAATAGCTGTGTTGGTACTTGTTTATTATGGATGATATATCTATCATCTATTGTGAGTGACCTACTGTGGCGTCACTGGAGCCACAGAGTGCAGATCTGTGAAGCAGAGCAGGTTAGAGTGAGCAGGGACAGCCAGGGCCCCTCGAGCAGTGGTGTCCCAGGGCTGCCATCCAGCTGGGCTCCCAAAGAGGCTGTGTTAGCAGCTCCCCTCACAAAGCACATGCCCTCTCCCAACTGTCAGGCCTCTGTTTCTTTTTGTGACTCGCAGCTGATGGTGCAAACTAAATTGGCGTGATTTAATTTGCACTCAACTCAGCAGGGAATGTTATAAACACTGATTTACTTTGTGCAGGAGCAGCACTGGAAGAATTGAAAAGGTTGATTGGGACAGCGTAGGTCCTGCTTTTTCAGTGTGCACTGAAAGAGATGGTCCCTGGCACCCACGGGGATGGCCAGGAGGGTCTGTGTTACTGCAGAGTGTTCACAGCAGGGCTCTGTTGGACATGATAGGATGAAAATCTGTTGGTCTCAGCTGTATTTGTTGCACAATGCGTGTAATCAGTTAAGCAGGAGTCCACTTAAGGCGAGGTAGGAGTATGCTGGATGCCACGGGCTGTGTGCAAAACTGTGGTGCAGGACACCCAGTTTCAAATTTCAGTTCATTTTAATGATGTACATATTGTTTTTTCTATCAGATTTTGTGCTTATTTACTTCACACATCTTTAATGCAGAGCAATGTAATTGCGGGAGATTATTTTGCTATTGATTACTTGATCCAGGAAAGAAAGAGAATTCATCCATGCCATGAATCACTAAGCATTTGCAGCAATAAACTTTATTGAGCCATGTGACTTGCCGTTACAGAATTGTAAAGAATGCTTTACTGAAATGATTATACCACACTGTGTACAATTCAAACTGAATTATCTGGCTCACAATAAAATGTTTTTGGCAAGGGCACCTACTCGGACACTGAGGCTTTTATACTGCTAACAGAATAATGTTTTCTGGGCAATTCTGAAGATATATTACTCCTCATTTACAATGTGCATTGTGGAAAAATGGTCTAAAATGCTTCTGAAGGATGCATTCGTTTGTAACCACAGCATTTATAGAGATGCTGAGCTTTGCAGTGGGTGGTATTGCTCTGGAAGAAATGAAAGAAAAGTGGGACTGCAGCTTGAGACTAGTATTGCTAATACAGGTAATTTTTGGAAAAAGCAGGTGCAAAAATAGCAAATAATGTCTGGAGTGTGAAGAGGGGCTGAATGGTGAGGTATACTGTAACAATAAGACTGAGATGAAATTGAAAGGAACTAATCAACCCTTTGCAAACAAAATGTTCGGCTAGAGTTTATTGCTGCAAGATACACACAGACAACTGGAAGTATTTCATGTTTCCTGGATATAGTTGGTGCATACATTTAGTGTGCAGTCAGGCTACAGCAGGTACCTGTCAGCCTCACTGCATGCATCTGCATGATCAGGGCTTCGGTCTAGATGGCAACAGGACATGCTCTACTCTCAAGCCTAACAGGGTTCAAAAAGGAGCTAAGACTTATAGGAATGACCCGCATGGCTGGAGAGGTCATGGCTTCAGTGAAGCACTGTGGTAGAGACCTTACATGTGGCTTCAGGCAAGAGGGGAAGAGCTGTCCTCTGGGGACAGGTTATTCCAAGGCAAATCACCCCAAGACCTTGGGGCTCTTGCCCTTAGACAGCTGGGAATGACCACAAGTCTAGGTTTGAGATTGAGTATTTCTGCCTATATGTGGATTTTTTTCTGGGCTATCAATTAAAATTTTAAGGTTTACATGCTGTTGAGACACTGCAGTGTAATTTTGTGTCTGAGATCACATCTCTCCTGTTTTTCATTGGGGCCCACAAGACTTCTGCCTTACCTGAAAGCATGTTACAGTCCTTTGCCGGGATGTATTATATCCATGTGTGTGGCTACTGCACAAAGCACCATCGTGGCTGGCCAAGGTGTGCCAGCAGACTTTGATCATATCATGAGATGCTCTGTATAGAATGAATAATGTTGCTTTGTTTTTAATTATTAGCAGTACATGTAATCCTAACTCCATGACCCACAAATGGACCTCTAAAGGGCAAATTGTCATTGTACCATTGCTATAAAAATGAGGACTTTGAAGCTTTCGGAAGAAAAAACCTGTTTCCAGGGGCAGGTAGTGCCCAAAATCTGGCCACTGAACAGAGTAGGCACGAAGTGTCCCAATAGCATGGAATTTTGCCCAGGGCAGTGATGGGAATGAGGGGACAACATGGAAATAGGGAGTAACAAAGCCACTGCTAAATCCAAGTGTCCACCAGTCCTTGCTCACCACCCTCTCCAGTCCTGCAACCCCACCAGGAAACTCAGTTCAGACAATGGGATTTTAAAGTTTGCAAATGTAAAGTGTTTGGGTTTTTCTAATTTCTTTTGTGAGCTGTTCATGCCAAAGTTTCAAGCTTTCTGACCAAACATGGAGGGCTGTGGAGACTTTTCTCCCAAAGTTAGTCCTGTTAGACTCTGGCTGCATGCAACCCTGTGCTCCAGTGTGGAAGAGGGTGTAAAGCTGGAGTGTGATACAAAGGTATGACGTTTACATCTGGATTCAGAAGAATGAAGGGAAAAAAATCCCCCTTATTATTATTTACAGTGCCACAGTATGGAGGAGAGGAAGATCAGGTCCCCAGGGTGATGGCTGTTACGTGACATGAGGAGCAGCACTTGCTGCCTACTTAGAGAAAGAAGTACATTTGCAGTTCCCTGGAGGAGTGATCTGTCTGTGTTCAGCCTGGTGCTCTGAAGTTCAGACTTGACCTCAGCCTCCTGAATCCCAGCCTACCAGCTCCTCTTCCCTTTTCCTAATGGAGCATTGCTGCTCTGTAATCCCCATACTGCTGTAAGCCAGATTTTTCCCACTCACTGGCATTCAGGAGCTCAAGTTATGATCCTGTCCCAAGGTTTGAGGCTTGGCAAGAAAACAGTGATCACTGGGTAGTTCTTCTGCAGCTCTCTATCTGCACACACCCCCACACATTGTGCACCCGTGTTGCCTTCCTTAAAAATTGTTGCAATGCTGTGCTGAAAAATAAGGCAAAATATATATTTTTTTTCTTTGCTTAGGGAGCAGCTTCTTGCAGAATGAAATGCTAACGAGTGCCTTTGCCTTTCCTTCCTGCTGTGTCTTACACTGAATTAGACCTGAAAAGCAGTATCACCAAGCTTGAAGTTCAATTTATCAGTGCAGTCAGGATTGATTTGTTACACTACCTATTCTGGGGAAATGAATGTCTCCATCGTGCTCCCTTCCAGTGCAGGCAGACCTTTGTTTTGCTCAGATCAGCTATGTAATGTAGGAAGCTGACATTCTACAGATAAAGGAAAAAACCTACAAAATCCTGACTG